ATTTGAAAAAGGGGCAAATAACTGATACTCTTTATAATTATACGTAATTTTAATTTCACTTTCTGTTAATCGTATTATAAAAACATGGAAGACCATTAAATATTTATTCCAGTTTAATTTTATTACAGGTAAAAGTCAGATGAAATTTTAGTGTTTACTTATACAACACTATTTAATAAATAAAAATATTTTCACAGTAAAATTTATGAGCACTAAATGAAAAAACCCAATTTTCCCCGGGTTTTTTCAAATAAAACCCAATTTTCCCCGGGTTTTTTCAATAAAACCCAGGCGGGTTGGGTTTTTTCAAAAATCCCCGGGTTTTTTCAAACCCTGAAACAATTAGTCTGACAGGAAAACATTTCTGAAACTCAAAATTTTCAGAATTTGAAATTTATTCTTAATTTGAAAGTGATAGTTAGGAAACAAATATAAGTTTTCTATAGTCTTCAACTCATTCAAAAACATTAATTTGAAAAAAAAAAGTATGCATAGAGCATATAAATTATGTGTGGGACACAAAATATAAATTTCAAACGGGAAAAAAAAAAAAACTAATAGCAATGAAAAAATAATTTAGCATTTCTCTTCTAGAAGAGAAACAGTTTCAGGTTTAAGTGAACAAGCTTTATTAAAAACATCTGCTATAGAATTGGTATACACAACAAAACAGAAAAAATGGATATAACTTCAGGACCCAACTTAGGCTTATTGGGGCCCCGGGCAAAAACTAATTTGGGGACCCCCTCTACTTTACTAATGAATTACCGAACTTCATTATAGATTACAAGAAAATTGAATGGAACCTAAAATAGCTATAAAATCCCCCTAATGGTCAGGCAAAATATCGTTCTGTTCCATTTAAGATTTTTTGACAATTCTATGTCCATCATGCAGAATGCAGTTTTCTGATTGTTGACTTTGTCATCTATCTGCAAAAAATTCATATACTTGCTGACATTAGGGCAGAATTCAGCTAAAGTTTCGCAATTATAATGGCTCAATTAAGCAAATCAGAAGCCTGCATTTTTGTAAACATATCGCATTTTGCAATATGTAAAAATTTAAGCTTTTAATGGGCCAAATTTGTCCAATGTAATTGCGAAAATTTAGCTGAATTCCGCACTAGAAAGCCATGGATTTATGAAATATAGATTGAGTTCATACAGTAGATTGAACTGCTACTATTGAAGTAGCTAAATAAAATTGATTGATTTTACACTGCAGTGATAATTTGTTTAAAATTAAGTTCATTAAAGAAATAAAGTTAACTTTCTATTCGGCGAGTCTAGTCAGGTTCTGTATAACTTGGCTAAGTATGTAGATAGATTATCTGCAAGATTTTTTTCATAATTTTGAACTTCACGCTGCCATCAATAATTCTCTCCAATTTATTTTTATGAATTCCTACACAGGGGATAATTCCGTATTCTTTAAATCTTCCCTGTATAAATGTGGTGGTGTGAGTTTGAACCAGTGGTTTTAGAAAATACAAATTAAAATTTAATTATCGCCCCTAACAAGATTTCTTGTAGTTCCGAAAATCGATTTCAAACGAAACTTTAGTGCTTGCATTTAATTAAATCATTAAATAAATACAGAAGTGCAAAGCAAAACTTTACCAAAATTCAAAAAATAATAATTTAATTAACTCAGAACAAATATTTTCTATCCTCACTAAGGCACAGATAAAACTTTTGTTTACACTTTCACAAGGCCGGTTTTGTCCATAATCGTTTGCTTAATTAAAGATTCTCCGCTTTCATGAAATGCCATTATTATGTTTGCCCAAATAATAATGATAATTTTTTACGAGATAAATTTATTGAAAGTAATGCATCAGTATAAATTATTATCAGCTAAAAATTATTCTATATATATCTATATATATATTAAATATTTTTCAAATTATAAAAGTAAATATGGCAACTATTTAGATATGCTAAACTTAAAATTTTATCGTCTGCTAAACTTATCAATTTTAAAGAATACAATTTTGAAAACAAATATACAAATGGATATCGCTCCGAAAGATTCAGTAGATTTACGAGGCAAGGAAAAGTTGTTGGTTTTAAAGTCTTCCTGGCTTTTCATTTTAAATTATTGTTTTGAGATTTGGATAAAGTTTATTTATGCTTTTCTAAGAATGTAACTTTACATTATTTTCATACGCCTCCTTTATAAATGTATATTTACTTATACGTTATTATATTCTATTCACGATCTGATTTGATTACTGCGTGAGTAGACCGGCCATTGCCCTGTGGTCAACTAATGGCAGTTCTCTAAATATTTTCATTAAGATCTTCAATTCGAACATTTAAATCTTCGATTTAGTTTATATTACTTAATTTTGACTTATATTTACAGAATTGGGGAGATTTCCGTATCGTGATCTGTGTCAGAATAATCGCCAAGTCTTGGCAACTTTCAGGCAGCGTCCCGCGAGTAATAGTTACCCCCTAGCAAATATGTACTTACACTTTGTTTACATTTACAATTTTAAAATCTATTTGGCACCTTGGCGATAGCAGTTGGTGCGACAGATTAGGATACGAAAATACTCAACGTAACCTAGCCTTGATTTTGTTATTTCTATTTTTATTAAGCTTGGGAAATTGTATATTATAGGTTTAAGAGTTTCATTTGATAACAAGGATGCACTAAAGGATTTTGCAATAAAAGATCCCTTAAAGTTATTTGACCACTGGTTTAACATTGCTCGTAATACAGATAGCATTATAGAGCCTAATGCTATGGCAATAGCAACTGCGACAAAGTAAGTAGCATTTTATTTTCTAAGAAGTTTAGAATTGATTTCAATTATGGGAAAATTTATGTACCGTGATCTGCTGCAAAATAATACCCAAATCTTGGTTGTTGTTGTTGTTACTTTACGTCGCACTAGAGCTGCACAATGGGCTATTGGCGACGGTCTGGGAAACATCCCGGAGGATGATCCGAAGACATGCCATCACAATTTTGATCCTCTGCGGAGGGGATGGCACCCCCGCTTCGGTAGCCCGACGACCTGCGCGCGAAGTCGAGCACTTTACGGTAGCACAGTTTAACGAGGACCAATACCGCACACCCTCGGTCCCTACGCAGACTGATCCAAGTGGTGACCCACCCGCACACTGATCGCAGCCAGTGATGCTTGACTTCGGTGATCTGTTGGGAACTGTGTCTTAACGATCAGTCCACTGCGGGACGCCAAATCTTGGCAACTTCAGGTCAGTGGCCCGTAAAAAACCACGAAAAATATTACAGAGGAAACCAACTCAAATGGTATAACTCGTAGCCACTTTCAGGCAAATCTCTGCAGGTTCTTTCTTTTTTTTTAAATTGCAAGTTTAAAATCCATTTGGCAATTGTAAACAGATCACAAGACAGAAATATCCCCTAAATACTTAAAAATATTTACAAAGATACTATAGAAATAAGACTATCTTCGAGAAAGTCAGTCATTGTTGATGCATTTCTTTTTTCAAATTATAATTTTTATAATTCAAATTATAATTTTCAAATTGTAATTTTGATATGTTCTATATAATTTTTTAGTTAAAAGTACAAAATAAACAAAACTGCAAGGATTTTTCATATTTTTATGCAATCTTTTTTTTTCGTTTCAAAAATCGGAAATTATTATTATTGATAATTTTTTTTTGAGGAAGTGCCCTGCCCTTTTATATTCCTAGGGAGAACTCTGATTATGTATATTTTAGTTAGACAATAATTCAGTAGGCGTGAATGTATTTTATTTCAAAAATGTAAGCTTTAATAAAGATTTAATTATATTTTCTCTTTCAATTTAAATAACAAGTTTTTTTTAAACTTTTTAACTGTCAAATGCTGATTTATTTTAAGGGATTTGTCATTCTTGTAGAAGCCCGGTGGCCGAGTGGTAGCGCTTCGAGCTCCCGTGCCACAGGTCTTGGATTCGATCCTCGGGCCGGGCAAGGAAGGTTGACTCAGCCTTTCATCCTTTCAGTGGGTCGATAAATGAGTACCAAGCAAGCTTGGGAACTAAACACTGGGGGTTCCGTGTTTGGCTGTCTACCTGACTGGAACATCTGCTCCTGCACCCCAGAACCCAAGGTCAAGAAAACTGAGATGGGCACAGTAGGCTTTTGCCCTCTATGGGCTGTTGTGCCACTGAGTTTAGTTTTTCATTCTTGTAGACTTTAGATGCAATAGACAAACTTTATGAACAAGTAATGCTATTGTAACATTTGCATTTTCGATGTGTTGCTGAAATTAATACTCCATTAGTACTTGAAAAGAGTCAGAACCAAAATGTTCTAACATTGTCATTTCAAGAATATTAAAATAGAGAAGTTTGAATGAATTGCAATAAATTTTTACAATGAAGTTGTCTTAGCTCAATTTATTGTTTAAAAAATATTCAAATTTTTTTTAATAGAAAATATAAGATTAATAAATTTTATGCATAAAATACTTTACTAATTTATATATTTATGCTTTTATTTAAGGAGTGGGAAACCTTCAGTGCGCTACCTTCTTTTAAAAAGTTATGGCGAAGATGGATTCTCCTTCTGTTCCAATTATGAGAGCAGGAAGGGAAAAGAAATTGTATGTTAATCAAGTTCTTTTTTTTTTGTGTGTGTGTATTAAGAAGGTTTTTTTCTTCAGTTTCAAATGGATTCTTGAATTAGTTTAATAATAATTATAGTGGTCAATTTTATAAATTAAGAAATTTTTTTAAAAAAATAAATATAAATTTTGCATTTAGAAAGTTTTCAATGAACACTATAAATCAAGAACAATGAAAAAGAGTCAAGTTAAAGTGAAAAATCTTATTATTCTAAATATTTTCAATCTTTTCATAACTTTATCTGCTGTCAAGAATTTAGCTAATAATATCACTTTTATATTCAATTAAGATGTAATAACATTAAATTCAACAGTTTAGTTATTTTTTGAGAACCAATTACTATTGAAGTAGCTAAANTTTACTAATTTATATATTTATGCTTTTATTTAAGGAGTGGAAAACCTTCAGTGCGCTACCTTCTTTTAAAAAGTTATGGCGAAGATGGATTCTCCTTCTTTTCCAATTATGAGAGCAGGAAGGGAAAAGAAATTGTATGTTAATCAAGTTCTTTTTTTTGTGTGTGTGTATTAAGAAGTTTTGTTTCTTCAGTTTCAAATGGATTTATGAATTAGTTTAATACTAATTATAGTGGTCAATTTTATAAATTAAGACATTTTTTTTTTAAAAATAAATATAAATTTTGCATTTAGAAAGTTTCCAATGAACACTATAAATCGGGAACAGAGAAAAAGTTTTAAGTTAAAGTAAAAAAGCTTATTATTCTAAATATTTTCAGTCTTTTCATAACTTTATCTTCTTTCAAGAATTTAGCTAATAATATCACTTTTATATTCAATTAAGATGTAATAGTAACATTAAATTCAACAGTTTAGTTAGTTTTTGAGAACCAATTTAATTTAATTGGAGTTTCGTACAATTTATATTTCTCCTTCTAAAGCTTTTAAATTTTCTTCAAAAATATGTTTTATTTGTTATTTTAAATTTAAAAAAAAATTATATTAGTCAGTTAAATTAGTTGTATTATACTCGTGAAAAATAATTTTATTAACTATTTTAAAAAAAAAGTCTGAGTAAAATAATAACTTTAGACAGTCATTCTAATGTGAAATCACTCAAATAATATATTTTCATAAGTACATTGTATTGGTCTGTATTGCAGTATCCTTTGTTAAGGGCTAGTTACATTCAAAAACATTTACATACTAATGATTATCATTTTGAAAATCAGTACTTTTAGTAATTGATCATATAAATTAATTATGAATTTCATTATAGTAATCTTGTTAGTGTAAGTGATGTAAGTAGCATCTAAAATTTCAAAAAGTGATGATCAACTTGTAGCTTTGTCAATTAAAGGAAGTTAAAACTGGCGAACTTTTTAAATTTCATTCTTTTAGTTTATTATAAAAAAGGAATACTCAAAATGCATTTATTATGTTTCCTCCGGGATGATCGTAATATATATATTAGTATTAACGAATGAATTGTAAAATTTAATGTTAATGAAATAAAATGATAGGTTTTTAAGTGCATGTTTTATCATTGACATTATAATAAAGATTTTAATTAAATAATTATTATATTGTGATAAGATATTTACTATCATTTAATGTAATTCACATCAAAACATCAATAAATCAAACAGTTAAAATTTAAATAATGAATTTCTTTTTGGTAGCATTTTATTAAGCTAAACCATATCATGTATGGTTTAATTTAATGCATTATTGATAAGTTACAAGAGTATGAATAATATATCTAGCTATAAATGTAATTAAAGACTATTTTATGGATGAAATTTTTTTGTTTTCAAACAAAGGTTAAAGGTACCAAAATTAGCACTATCTATGAAAATGGGTAATGAAATAACTAAATACAGTTAAAAATATGCTTGATGTTTTTATTCAATTGTTTTTTTATTTTTTATTTATTAAGTCTTGCATAAAATGTACTAATTTATTTCTTCAATAATTATACATAAAAAATTATGAAGGGAATATAACACAAATTCATTTGCTTTAACTTTTAGATTCTAAGTTTTATTAAATTGATTCTTTTTGTTTAAATTAGGCTGAAAATCCTCAAGTAGCACTTTTATTCTATTGGAATACGTTGTGTCGTCAAGTAAGAATAACTTTTTTTTTATCAAAAATTATTATGAAGTTGTTTATCAGGTGATACTAGGCTTAAGTTGGTTTATTAGTTTAGTCATCTAAATTTTTTGTTTAGCTTTATTTTTCCTTTTCAGAGTTTAGAACTTTCGCTTATATTATATAGAAAATTAAATATTGCATGTATAATATTTATAGATTAGAATTGAAGGAACTGTAGTTAAACTTAGCGAAAAAGAATCTGAGGATTATTTTCACCAACGTCCTCGAAGTAGTCAACTTTCTGCTTTAGCCAGTCGCCAGAGTGAAGTTATTGAATCAAAAGATGTAGGTAAAATAGATTACANGTTAAACTTAGCGAAAAAGAATCTGAGGATTATTTTCACCAACGTCCTCGAAGTAGTCAACTTTCTGCTTTAGCCAGTCAACAGAGTGAAGTTATTGAATCAAAAGATGTAGGTAAAATAGATTACATAATTTGGCTTTTGTTAACAGCAAATTAAAAAATATATATTTATCACTGTTTGAATTGTTAAAAATTTTCACTTTAATTTAAATTTTCCCTGTCTTTATCTTGTACTATGATTCTCAACTGGTGGTCTATATAGAAATCACCAGTGGTCTGTAGGAAGACCATCATAATTAAAAAAAATATGTTTTTATTACTAAAACATAGCTTTAAACTGGAATAAATTAAACTAAAATAGGATATATTTTTGTTGCATAGTTACTTTCAAATTAGGAATCATGAACAAGTGCTATATTTTTTATAGAATAAGGTCAGTAAAAAATGTGCCAATAAATTATTTTGCATAAATACTGGGAAGTAATGCACAGTATATTTTACCTTATTTTCTCAATATATGTTTAGCTTTGTAGTTACTATATATTTTTTATTGAAAGATTTTATATTTTTGCAGCATTTATATTTTTGAAACTAAAAAGGAAAAGATTGAATTGATATTGGGTATTTGATCAACAGTGAAATTTAAATATATTTTCATAAATTTGCATTCCTATTAATTTTTTATATTGGATAGCATTGATTATGGTGCAATTTAATTGTGATGCATTTTTTGTTTAGGTTGTGGAAAGAAAAAAAGAAGAATTGGAAAATAAATATCCTGAAGGTACTTCTAAACTTCCTAAACCTGATTACTGGTATGCATGAAGGATATATTTATTTCAGACAAAATTTTAGTTTTACCTACTGAGTTTTATTTTTTAAATTTAAAAAAAGTAGGATATATTTAAATTCTAAAAAGTTTCATTATTCCCAAGAATTTTTTAAAGCTAAGATATAGAGCTTATGGGGTTGCTAAAATATTTTTTTCCAAAACCTATGCAGACATTAATTAAACTGAAAATAATAGTAAAACACTCCTAAACCAGCCAAATCAAGGTCAAGGTCATGAACTTTAGGGCTCCATAATTTCCTGACCATTTACAAGATGGTAAAAATATTATCAGCCATTGCACACCAAGTCACCTTTACTACCCATACATGCTGGTTCTGATTGATTTAAACTAAGTGGGCTTCAAGCTACCGCAAGGAATGGAATCCAAGTTTTTTACAATGACAGTACATTTCCTTAATTAGTGTGCCATCGTATCTTACTGAAAAAATATAATCATTAAATTTGAGATATTTAACAATTTCCCATTAAATATTTAAATGCATAAAAGTGAAGATGTTTTTCAAGTTTTTATTTTCGATTTAGGCCTTATCTATCTCTTTCTGACTGTGGCTAAACAATACTTTTTTTAAAATTTAACTTTCTGAAATAGGATTGTGAAATTAAATTGCAGAATCAACTACTACTATAGTGAAATCAAAATTATTTAATGACATTATAAATGATTAATTAATAATTATTTGGCATCAAATAATCATTTGATGCCTAATTGAATGTAATATTAATGAGTTATTAATAAAAAAATTTGCGTTAAATTTTCTTTAGTCTTTAATGAGTATTTTAAAATTAATAAAAGTTAACTGATGGAAATGGAAAAGTAAATTAAACATAAAGAGAGGGAGGAAATATTTATAATTATATTTAAAGTGAACTTCATGAGCTGCAAACGAGATAATTAAAATAATATGAATCAAAACCTCTTATAATATACATATAAATTTAAATCCATTTGGCAAAACCCCCAGAAATTATCTTTTTTTTTAAATTTTTTTTTTTATTATTAGAAATTCAATATATTGTTTATAAGATCTTAATAATAAAGTGAGAGCAAAATATTTCCCATTATAAGTATAGTCAATGTAATTTTTCACAATGTGAGAAATGATTATTGTTCTGCCTCATTGGATTATAAATCTTAACCGTCACTGAATATTGACTTTTAAATCCTTCAAAGTATTTCTCATATTGTATTAGTGGAGAAATACGTAATTTCAACAATGAGTAAGAACTTACAGCTATTGTTATATTTATAGTTCTGAAACAATGTTAATCAAATAGATCCATTTTTGATAACTCATATAATTTTATATTCAAGTCACAAAGTTTGCTAAGTCACATAGTTTGAAATAAGTGATAAATATTTTTTTTGTAAACTTACGTTTTTTAATGATACCAACTGCCTTTGGCAACCAGCTTTATCACCTTTCAAATTTATCTTGTACAACATATAAACTTTAATGATCACTAAGCCGAATGCTCAGCAATTAATATATTTAAATATTCTAATTCTTCTATCCCTCCTCCAATACTAACACCTTAACTAGTTTTAAAGAATATATTAACAAAATTTTTTCACCATCCATTTGTTGCCTGGGGCTTTTCTCGCTTGGAAGTACTTTGATTTTAATGTTAACTATTTTTAAAAGATGTCTTTATTAAACTGCAGTAATAGTTTTAGATCTATGCTGCAGCTCTTAAATCATTAAAACCACTATAAGTGTAAGTTTAGGATATTTCAGTATAGTAGTAGAAAAAGTATTAAAATTGTTTCCATCTCTGTCATGATTAAAGAAAGCAAATTCATCCCATTGCTTCGTTACTTGTTTTATTACTTCTTTACCAAACCATAGCTTGAGTATTATTCAAGCTATGATTCAAAATAATACTATGTGTATGCTATTATTGATATAATACTATGTATGCTAATAATTTGATATTATACTCTATATATGCTCATATAATACTGTATGCATGCTATTGCTTGAAAAAGGCAAGCTCCATCCCCAATGATTAGCGTGACAGTATGTGGCACCATAGCACCACAGAAAAAAAATTTCTACTTTCATTTTAGAAAGGTTCAAAAATAAATCTAAATTACTTTGTGACTAAGGTTTTTATTTCTATAAAAATGTAAAATTATTTTGAATTAATACTTACCAAATAACTAACTATACAATACAACCTAAATTATTACTTTAGACAATCTAACAAAATGAATAATTATTATATTAATAGATAAATAATGAATAAGATAAATAAATAAAGAATAGATATAGAATAGTCCAATATATAAAGAAATATCTAAGTTAATGTGCCACAGAAGAGAAATATATGTATAGTTACTAATATCACATTACTATAGAACAATAATATAACTATTTCTATAGGACAATTTAAGAATAATTTTTATTAAATGGTATTTTTTTCTAAAAGAAAAGGTTGGACTGAACTAATTGAAATTTTAAAATAATTCAAATTAAACAAATCTTTATCATACTATTACTATATTTAATAAAAGTAACTTAGTTCGTAGCATATACAAAAAGATATACGTACTCATTTATTTTTATTAAAAAATATTAAGAAAATCATTGCACTTATGGACCAAAAGTTACAAGCTGTTTTTAAGAATTATGGCTTTATAGATAATTTGATAGTGTAATTTTGTCATTAATTAACTTAGCATACTCTGCAATATTTAGTTTATAAAACCATTATGAACGAGTTAATTATAAACATTTTCAGCACATCAGAATGTGTTGCCCTTTGCTATTTTTAGCTCCGTGAATCAGATCATAATTAATTATGAAATTTTATGATAGTCAATTTTGAAAAATTTTAGGTTTTTTACTTTTAATTTGGATGCAGCATTCTAAAGCAAACACAGTTTGAAATAGTGTCATATTCTAGGAATTTTTTGTAATGAAGAATTATTTTTTAATTATTATGAAAAAGAAGATAAAATTCTTTCATATATGTGTGTCTATATTTCATATATATATCTCATATATATATAATGTCTGTCAGAAATGAAATTTAAGTATCTTATTGGTATTTTTCTTTGAAGTGAAATGTTATAAAACAGATTTTTTATAGGGGTGGCTACAAAGTGATACCCGAATCATTCGAATTTTGGTGTGGAAGAAACGATCGGTTTCATGATAGAATGCGCTTTAGGAAACTGTCTGATAAGGAAAAAGCTGATGAAAAGTTAATCCATACTGGGGAAAATGGATGGATATATGAATATTTGTCTCCCTAATTCCTAGCTTGTTATGTTTTGTACATGTTTTATATTTTGATACAATTTATAATTGCAATTATAATTATTTCTATGATGTATATTTACACTTCAATTTTTTAAATTTTTTTTATATATTTAGGCAGCTTAAAACTTGCTGTTTCATTTAAGAGTTTTAAAAAAATAATTGTCTCTGTTTTGACTCTTTATCCTATTTTTAATTTTATGAACTGAAAGTTTATCATTTTCTATTGTTAAAATTTAAAGGCTTGAAGCAATATAATAAGTCACATTTTCAAATCTTATTAAAGAGCTTTTTTCATTAAAGAAAAAAACACGAGTTCTATGTTTAATTTAGAAAAAAATTCTAAATTGAAGATTACAAAACATACATTTATTATAATTAGTTGATTTTAATACGGCAATAATTTTAATAATTTTATAATTAAATGTTAATTTGTTACACTTTTTAATTTCCATTTTCTGGCTGATTCCATCTTCTATATCTGATATGGGCAGGGTTCTCAAACTAATTTGGGTCAGGGGTTCTTTGAAAATAGATTTCCAAAATTTCTCAAATGAAAATTAATTTTTTTAAACCTTTAGCACAGGAAAATGTTTATCAATATGTTGTTATTCAGACTACCAACCATATTAGTGCAGATGATATCTGTTATTATTCACTGTTTTATTTAATGCATATTTCTACTTAATGATATATTTGTCCACTATTTTTACCCGTTTTGAAAACTAGCAATTTTAGGTTATTTTATTAAATAATGAATATTTAATAAATAAATTGCTAATTTCGAAATTAATCCTTGGGTTGGTAATAAAAATTTGAAACTAATTTTAATTATATGGTGATTTTTTCATATAATATATTATAAAAGAGCAATTTTTAAATATTTTTTTTTTAGTGCAAACTGAAGAAAACACAGTGTAAGGATCGCTACAGTTTGTATTGGTTGTCGAAAGGATTAAACAATAATTAATTCAAACTTGCAAGAAAAAAATTTGCTTTTGAAAAATCAGGTGAATTTTTAGAGCAGCATATTCCTGGGTGTTGAAGAGAGAAAGTGTCTTGGGCTATGCTGCACAGAATGCGGTTGCTCAATGAATTTTCGGCTACGAGTTTTATTGAAATCGTAATACAATTTGTTGGTATGGTTCATTTATCAATTTAAATGTTTTTCTTTATAATGAAATTTCATTATGATTTATCATAAATTATTCAATTGCCAACACAATCACTCTGACAACAAGAACCAAATAATCTGAGCATGAATAATCAAAAATATTCTGTAATTATTAATGGTGTTAAGGATTTTATCAAATATTTTCTCAAGTTTTAAGTGTTGTTAAACTTTTATTTTCGCAAACAAATTTGTTTATGAATTTTTTTTCTGGTGTATAATTTAATGTAAAGAAAGTACTAATAGTGTATGTTTCTTTATTCATAATTGAACTTTATATTTAATTTAGATTTTTGCAAACTTAAAACGCATTTTTTATCATTTGTGCACTGAAAGGATTACATTTACTTTCTGCCAGAATGATTTCGTACAATTAGAATTTGCGAATGGAATAATTACATCATATTTGGTGAATGCATTCATATTTTTTACCATAATTTATATCCCTACTGTGGTGGTGTTCTTCCTAAGAAGGAAAAAAAAGTGCTAAATTTTGATATAAATTGTGCAATAAATTTAATGCTCTTAATTAGTTTACATAAATTACTGCTTATCATTGTCTGTATCAAGCATTTTTGTTCTATCTGCTTTAGAATTAAGAAAGTACTTCTTGTTTCTATAAGTATAATAAAGTATACTTGCTTAAAATTAAAGTACAAAATGCTTCAATTAAGACTGTCATAATTAAGAAATGATTTAGTTGTTGTTGGAACCAATAACTTAAACTAAGATTTATATTTTGTTATCATTCTAAGTATTAGTTTTCAATAAATTTTCATTTTAAATAATTGTTTGTTTCAACTATTCCTTTCTATTCCAAAATTCATATGAATGAAGATCAAATCAGACTGAAATCAAATGGAGTTCTTTTTTCTGGTGAAAATCGATAACTTTGTGAATATAACCTTATTTCAAAAGATTTATTTATGCTTTAGAACTTTTTACGAATTGAATACGAGTAAATAACAATCCAAATTGAAATCAAATGTAATTCATTTTCTTTTTAAAAATACATCACATTGGGAGCATAACCGTATTTCAAAATTTTTAATAAGATTTATTTAAACTTTGCAAAAATTTTTTACGAATTGCATACGAAGAAAGAGCAATCCAAATCCTATTGCAATTTACTTTCTAATTTGAATACATTGCTTCCATCAAAAAATTTTTTTCAAATAAAAAAGATATTTAAAAATCAGTTGAAAAGGGGAAAATATAAAAGGGTTTTACTGAAATATGAAAACACTTCAAAAAATCCATTTTAAGGTGGCCCCAGGCCATGGCGTAATGGGTAATCCGGCACTGGCTATGAAGTTGAACATTGGGTAATCATTAACTGAAAATTGGGTCGGCTGTTCAAGGACGGTCATAAAATAAAATACTTTAATATGAAAGAGCACCTGAATTTGATCTATTTTGACTCAATAATGCTTAAGCAATAAAAGTAGAAACAGTTTAAACTATTTCTATAGGACAATTTAA